CAATATTACAGTAGTAATTGCTACAGGCAAATCCACTAATGGATGCTAAAATTAGTGCACAAAAGTTTGAGGAAAAGCAGGATATATGCATAAATCTCTGAGTATCTCCTATAAGATATTCTCCCATAAGACATTTATTATTTCCAAAAGAAAAATAGTGACATTACAGTAAAGAGACCTGGAAGATACCACCTTAACCAAAGAATCAGTTAACATCACTAGTAATAACCCATGTTGACATCATGTTGTCTAATTTGATACCCTGAAAAGGAAACATTCTTCTCCAAAAGCCATAACTTCAATCTAATCATCAGAAAACATCAGATAAACCCAAACTGAGGGACATGCTACAAAATCGCTGACCAGTGCTCTTCAAAAGTGTCGAGATCATGAAAGACAAAGACTCATCCATTATTACAGATCAGAGGAGACCAAGGAGACCTAATAACTAAATGAGATGTGGGATCCTAGATTGAATCCTGGAACAGAAAAAGGACATTAGTGGAAAAACTGGTAAAATTCAAGAAAAGTCTGTAGTTAGTGAATAGTATTGTACCAATATCAATTTTCTGGTTTTGATAGTTATACTATGGTTTGATTATGTAAGATGTTATCATTAGGGAAAGCTGGGTAAAGAGTATATGGGAAGTCTCTCTACTATTCTTGCAACAACGCTTCTCTAAATCTAAATAATCTAAAATTATTTCAAAATAAAGTTAAAAACATAAAGTGAGCCCCGCCCACCCTGCCTGCATTATCCCTGATCCCACCCCTCTCTTGATGCCCTTTGCAGAACTCATCACATACAAGGATCTTGTTCGCTACCTGACTTCCCCACTGCACTGTAACCTCCATGGGGCAAGGGTGTCTGTCTTGTTGACTGCAGCTTCCCCAGAGCCTACATAGTGACTTGCATACAATAAGCACTGCTTTCAAATGTGTTGAATAAGTGAATTAATTAATATCCCTGGATGTAACAAGGAAAAATGAATGGAAAAAGTGAGCGTTCTTAGAAAGCCTCCAGAGCATGAGAAGGCAGCATAGTCAGGAGTCTTCTACCACACACCCAAAGGTGAAATTATGGGTCCCCCCACCCCCGCCAGATTGGGAATCCCTGCCCAAGATTTTGCAGACGGGGGAAATAATTTACTACCCAGAAACCTTGCTCCAAACATCAGTGTTCCCCCCAGGGCCACCATGGAGCGAGGATTCCTGGCAGGACATATGTCAGATGGCCGGGATGCAGAACATGGGCCAGGCAGGGAGTGTCTCCTGCCCCCACCCCCCAGCCTGTCTGATTCTGCCAGGGGACCTGGGAATGAACTTCACAACTCCACAACCATCAGTGAAATTTTACTGGGAAAACCCAAGAAATCACGTTGTACAGACTTGGGCCTTTCCCATAAACTCCCTCTGTGGACCATCAAACAATAGCAGTGGGGTGGGAAGCAGCGACAGGCCAATTCCAACTTGGTTTTCAGGCATTTTTTTCAGCATCAGATGGTAGAGGTCCACTGTAGCGGAAGGAGCCCAGATGGGAGTGAGTACCCCTGGGTTCCATCTCCACGTGTGTGTAAAGTGGGAGGAGACTATATGTGGTGATCTCTGTCCTTTGAGCTCTGATGTTCTGGAATCTTCAGCACCTTCATAAAGAAAGGGTTACTTTTTGCTTTGTCCCCAAGCCAGAACTCAGGCAACGGCCCCGGTGGCATTGCTGAGGGGCTGCCTCTCCGAGCCTGGGCATCGTTGGGAAATTCCAAGACCTTGGTTATAGGGGAAGGTGGAGGCTGGGCATGAAGGTGTACTGAAAGGAAACTCAGTGGAATAATAGATTAGAGGCATTTGCTGGACCATAACCAACTACTAGCTATAATAGCAAACACAGCTTTTTACAGTTTTGTCTGACCCTGTATCAAATGGTCATTTTGCAGATGTGGATACTGAGGCCCAGAGGATCAAGTTCGTTGACAAAAGATCAGGCAGCTGAAAAGGAGGCACCTTGAAGCTGTCCAAATCCCTTTCAGCTGAATTGATATATTTTTATGTTATATAATCTTTCATTCCATACTTTTATTTACAAAAAGAAAATTGAATGTCTCCTTTCTCTCCTCCATGGCTCTTGAGTTTCATACATGAAACTCTGGGTGTGCTAGAAGAATGTGATCACTGTGATACATCGATTAAGTTAGGAAATTAGAGATCAGTGCCCCTCCCCAATTCCTGAGGAATGGCCATCGCTCCTGTCTCATAATCCCTGCCCTTTACAGAGCCCTTTCAGAGCCCTCTGTGGAAAGGATCCTAGTACCCCACCTCCCAGGTGAGGAGCCTGAGGCTACACAGGAAAGTGCCTGGTTGCTGTTGGGGTCAGGGCTGGGACCGGGAGACCCAGCTACTGGCCAGAGCATCTGCACTTCTCAGTGCTATTTTAGTGGCTAAAGCAGGGGCAGCCTGCCTAGGAACTGCCATAGGGGAAAATCCAGGTCCCAACAAATGCTTTCCCTCAACACCAGCTTTTGAGAAATATCTTGCCTAATCTAAAGAAGCAACTGCTGAAAGCTGTACATCCACACAATTCCAGCAAAGAAAGAGGGGCACTCCCCCTTGGCCAGTTACAGTAATGTCTAGTTTAATGCCACATCCCAGGAAGTTGTATCAGTTTCTGATGAAAAGCATTATTTTCCCACCTTCTAGTGCCTAAATGTCCCTCCTTCTAGTGCCTGCCTGAAACAGCCAGGGTGGACAGTTTCCGTGCTGGAACTATGGGGTGATTTATCAATTTCACAAACCCACAGGATGGAAGTTTGGATCTGGGGTGAGTTCAGGTGAATGAGGCTCTCTTCACCCAGTGCACAAGGGCCCCCCAGGCTGCAAGGGAGGGAGGCCACAGAGCTTGGTGTCCTCATGGAGCCGGTGGGTTCCTGGGTTGTTCACTCAGTCTCCGGATCCAACATGAAATCAGCATCAGGCCTGCAGACAGAATTCCCAGTGAGCCCCTGGGTCCTACCCGTCAGCCCCTGCTGTGCCTTGGGGACAGATACCCTTAAGGATGCTTCGAGAGGGGTGAGGCAAAGGGTGTGACTGAGCGACCCTCCTTCACTCTCTGTGCCCCACCCTGTGACAGCCAACAGCCTGGACCCATTTCATCCTGCAGATCAGAGGTTCTTACACAGCCACGCAACACAGGTGGTCTGTGTGGTCCCTGAATCCACAGGATTTGTCACCAAAGCTGTGTGTGTGTGTGTGTGTGTGTGTGAGTGTGTCTGTAGGGAGGAGGAGATTCGTGTGTAGATATTCATGGCGAGTATCACTCGGCAGAGGTCCAGAACCCTGCCCTCCCTGCTCTCGATCTGTGGGAGGACCCAGACCCCACCCCGTGTCACCTGCCTGGAGCAGCCTGGCTCTCAGGTGGGCATTTGCTGCGTTTCTGGCACCCTGTCGGACAATGGATGTTCTATTTCTTCTCCTCCCCAGTCTGGAGATGAAAAGCCCATCTCCTCCTGCCCAAACATGTGTGTCCACTGGCCCCGCCCAGCACAGCTGTTTGCCCGTCCATCACTGGACCAGGTCCCCACCGCGAGGACAGGAAGTGCTCCCCACATCCGCCTCCGCCACCAGCCTGGTGTCTTGTGGTCACTGAGCCTGGTAGCCAGAGAGAGAATTTTTAAAAAGACTCACAGACATGTAATTAAAATCTCAGTGTTGGGTTTTGGGGGAGGCGCTGGGCGGCTCCTGCCTCTGCTTTGCGGAAACACAGATTTTTAGCGGTTGAAAGTGACAGGAGGCTCAAGAGAGATGGTCCTAAATATACTGTCCTGGGCATTTCCGGGCAGCTGGGGAAATGTGGGATTTGATCCTACCCGCGGGCTCTTATGCCAGCCCCCCCTAGGCTGCCCTGGGTGCCCCTCCCGCCTGTGCTTCACCCTTGCCTCCACGCATATCTTCCACTCCACCCTCAAACCGCACCGCTTCCCTGCTGCCCGGAACCCCGGCCCCACAGGCCAGAGGCACAGCCCACACTCCTAGGCGGGATTTCCAGCCCTCTGCAGTCAGGCCACAGCCAGACTCACACCCTGTACCCCACACCACTGATATGTGGGTGGCCCCAGCACCCCCACACCTGTGCATACAAGATCCCCTCTGCCTGGAACGCCCTCCCCACCCCCTTCTCCACCCGCCAAGACTCTGTTCCATCCTTCAAGGCCAGTTCAGATGTCACCTCCTCCAGGAAGCTGCTCAGATCCCACCACACTGTGGGACCCTCTGACTTCCCAGCACTTGACAGGGCCTCTCCAGGAGCTGTCACTCCTGTTTTGCTTCTTCTTGTTCCTTTCCATGCCTCCCTCTGGCCCTCCTTCCTCCTTCAGCTTATTCCAAAAAGGTACCTGCCTCCTTTCGCCCTTTGCTGTGTTTCATGGCTGTTGATGTCCCTGCTGTGCCGTCCGTTCTTCAGCTCTGGGCCTTTGCTCATGCTGGTCCCTCCTCCGCAGTGTCCTTCTCCCTTGACGTTGTGGCAAATTCATTCTCACCCCTCAAGGCCCAGCTCCAGTGACAGCCGCAAGCACTCCCTCTCCCCCCATCTCCCGTCCACGCACATCAGCAGAGTCTGGGAGACCCCCGTCCCCCTGAAGTGTGCTCAGTTATGTCCCTGCCCACCACCGTGGTCCTTTTCTGCCTTGGGTCTGATGTCCATCTCCCCAGAGGAGGGACCCATCCTCTGCCTCACGTGTGGATGCCAGAGCCAGCAGGGGCTGAGCGGGGCAGGCTGGGTTTGGGGCTTGGGGGCCAGAAATGGAAGCTGCCCTTGTTGGCACCCACCGTGTGCCGGGCTCTGTGCTGGGGGCCTCACCATAGGCTCATGGAGCCCTCTCAGCACCCAGGAGGCAGAGCCTGGGAGTGAGCCCATGTGCAGAGGAAGGAGCCAGCCCCACCCAGGCCACCCAGGCCCCTGGCTCCGACCCGCCTCTGCCCACCCCAGACCCTGAGCCCAGAATCACGTGTGACTGCCAGCCCTGTTTTGTCTTGCAGTGGAGCTCGACCATGCCCTGGGCCACCAGGAGCCCCACTGGAAGGAGTTCCGCTTTGACCTGACCCAGATCCCGGCGGGGGAGGCGGTCACAGCTGCTGAGTTCCGGATTTACAAGCTGCCCAGCACCCACCCGCTCAACAGGACCCTCCACGTCAGCATGTTCGAGGTGGTCAGGGAGCGGGCCAACAGGTGCCTGCCCCGCGCCCTGCCTCCCGGTCAAGCCTCTGGCGGTGTGTCGGCCCAGCCCTGGGGGGACATTTCCCGGAGCACAGAAGGGGAGCTTCCTGGGGAGCACACCCTCACAGATGGAAGATGCTTGGCCCGAGGCCCCCGGCACCGTGAGAGAGGCCCAGCATCAGTCCTGGCTTCAAGCCTCTGCCCTGCCGTCCTAGCTGTGGGACCTTGGACGGGTCACTGAGCTCCTGAGCCTCAGTTTCCCCTCTGTACACGGGCACAGTAACACCTTTGAATGGCAGATACGGTGAGATAAGACGCGTCAGGCGCCCAGCCCAGAGCCAGGCGGTAGATGCCCCACTGGTGGTCCCCAGGTGGGCACTGGAAACACAAAGACAGCTGTGCCGGCCCTCGGTTAATTGTTCTTTCGTGTCCACAGGGAGTCTGACTTGTTCTTTTTGGATCTTCAGACGCTCCAAGCTGGGGACGAGGGCTGGCTGGTGTTGGACGTGACAGCAGCCAGCGACCACTGGTTGTTGAACCGTAACAAGGACCTGGGACTCCGGCTCTATGTGGAAACGGAGG